ATTCATAAAACTATTTATTAAACTTCAAACAGATGAACAATTTATTTTTTTTATGATAGAGAATAATTATATGGTTTTATTTGAGTCTCAAAAAATATTTGTTCATGTCATTGTTTGAAATGAACTATAATAAGAACATGAACAAATGGTTGACAGAGCCCTGACGATTGACATATATAGACATAAAATGAACTTTAAAAACAAACAAAAAATAAAACTCCTGTATGTGATCTAAATATTTGATACAGATATTGTAGAATATAAATAATAAATAGTGCTAATAATAAGATCCGTAAAATATAGTTCTGATTTGGAACATATGGTTTGTGTTCCATTATATATGCCCATAATAATTAATACTATAATCTAAGGTATAACTAGATAAAAAGGAAAGAACATATAAGAGAACAATTGTTGTTAATTGTTTGTCTTATTTATTCTCATCGAGATACAGGATATCATTCGATAAGTTAATTGTTTCGTATTTCAATACGTTCGTGATTCAAATGAAACAGTCGCGAAAAAACGATGCAATTTCCGCAAGAATGAGTACTTAAAAATAAATTAATATTACAAAGTAAAATTTCTATGCTTGCACATATGAATAAATGTTTTCTCTGTTGAAATTAAAGTATGTCAAATCAATAGAAAGATTGCACAAAAAGTCTCAAGCTGAGAGAATATGAATCATAAACTAAAGTATCTAACAATCAATCAAACCTTGTTAAAAACATACATCAATATGACAGAAATGCTTCAAAATACAAAGAGTAAAGTCTGAAGTTGTAACGGAGGGATAGTTTGATTGTGTGTTCAATCAATGTTGAATCAATTTATTATAATACGAGTGAATAAACTCGTAAGTGACTGACTGATTTTAACAAATAACACAATAGTTGAAATAAAATACAGATAACTTTTATCAAAATATGTTCTAGACTAAAACATACATGCGTATTGAATAATCTAATCAAGAACTTCAGCAATAAGAATAATTATGCCGGAATCGATCGTACTTTTGAAGGAGTTAGAGTACATGACAAGTTGATTAATTTCACTAGATTTATTTGCAATTTATATCCGTGACTTTTAATAATAAAAAGAATCCGAATAGTAGTTTGAGTGGAGAAACTTATTTAGAACAAGAATATACGAAAATAAAAAATCTTAGCCAACACTCAAAGACAGGATGATAATAGAGTCGAAATGGAGTTTCCTGATGCTTAGAACGAGGAATTATTATTTTGTGAAGATCATGTAAAATTCTGAGGCAAACAAATCTACGAAATCAGATGTCTTCCTGTTCTCTACAACGGTGTTTTGCTATGATATGACAACCATAAGAATAATTCTAACGTCGATCTTCAGTCTACTGCCTAGATAAAAGCAATTTTTAAATATTCAATCAGATTGTTGTGTTTCATGCCAAACACATTATAGAGAACTATTATATCTATGCTTCTACATAGCCGCAACAAAATACTAGTTTCATATTCTAGGTATCAAAATCTAGGACTTCGACTTTTTGAAGACTCCATATTTGGAAATCAGTTTAAAAGTTTTATTTTTCTAGACTGTTATTATAAATGAGTGTTTCTACTCAAAGTTTTATTCAGACGTTGTTGAGTGTTCAAGAAGGTGGAAATTTTACCTCTAGTTATATTATATTGTTTTTTTTGAGCATATTCCTTTCTATCAAAATTTTTCATTTTTGCTCACTGTCAATTAACAGTAAAAAGAAAATGAAGATACACCGCTTTTTACATCTAACAGCTTATCACCACTCATATTGGCAATAACACATCCATTTCTACAATTACAATGATTCCAATTACCCATATATATCGTTATTAACTTTCCAAAGTGTGCCAATGCTAACTCATTATGATTATCATATCCGTATGCAGAAAAACTGAAGAAAAATATATTGTGAAAGTTGCATTTCTTTTTCTTTCAACGAATCATTCTTATGCTTTTTTTTAATGAATTATACTAAAAGATAGAGGATTAAAAATTGAACAAAATGTGTTGTTTCAATATCATTAAGTTTTTGAGTCAAAGAGTTCCAAGTTGAATTTTAAATATACTAGTATGCAATTTTTTATATTCTATTACTGATCAAAAACCTATTCAAAAGTAAATGGTAGCTTCGGGGTGCAATGTGGTTCACATCTCTCGTTTACATAATGGTTTTTTATGATATTTTAATAGGAAAAGAAACATTTTTTGCGGTTTTCATTGTCACGACACAACTATAAAGCAGAATAAACATGACATTCGGAGTTAGTACCAAAAACTACATTGAATTGAAAAGATTTTAGAGAATTGTTTTCCTTTTCAAAATTGATTCGTAGAGGAACGACATCTGAACTTTGTATAGGAAAACATTTCTTTAAAATGTGTTTGATTTAATGTGGTTTTAGATGCTGACTCCGAATTTTATGTTTGTTTTTCTTTCAAATATTGTTACGGTAAGAAAAACTGTGAAAAAATATTGCTTTTTCTATTGAAATATTATCAAAAATTATAACGTAAGAGAGAGATGTGAATCACAGTTTACCCCGAAGCTATCATTTACTTTTGAATAGTTTTTTTTGATCACTTGTAGAAAATGAAAAGTTACATAATATAGATTGAAAGAGTCACTTTTCATTCATGTTGGTCTTATAAAAATTGAGGCAGTCCACATTGTATTATATTGAAATAGTTCATTTTATTAAATTCTTAATGCTCTATCTTTGAAGATAAACTGTAACAAATATGAAGTTTTCTTTGAAATAAAAACGAGCACAACTTTTACAAACGTTTTCTTTATATGTTGATAGAAGATTTCTTTCTCATCTTCAACTTTATAACTTCTCTCATTCTTCATAATGTTTATCGAAATGTATTGTATTTTACTTTTCCTATTTTCGCATTTTTTTATTACAGGTTTTTATAATAACTCGAGGTTATCCGAATTCTCTAGTATTTTCTGTGCGTTTTTTAGTTAGAGAACCAAAAGGTTTCCAACATAAAGATGCGTTGGTTGTATGTGATGATGAAGCAGCGCCGGTAGTTGAAGAAAATTTTTGAAACAAGTTGATGATTACAGAGATTTAGTAAGAACAAAATTAGAATTAGAAAAAATAATTATTGATGAAAGAGGAGAGCCAGTAGACAATGACTTTATTTTTAATATGAAGAAAGCTTTTTAAAGTGACCACAATATTATTGATTTCAAAAAAAGTTTAGTGAAAAGATGCCACAGTTTTTAAAAATTTTATATTTTATTCGAGATTCAGTCTATGGACGCCTATCGCAGTATCCAATTAGCCCGATTCATCTCATGATTCTTTCATCCAAAAATAATTTCAATCGGTTGGAATCTCTCATAACGAATTCCAGTAGTCTGAATTTTTATTCATCACCATTAGTAAAAGTTATGATGTTGCTTTGGATAAGATCTACATATATATTTTTTTCTTCATTTATATACTCTTGTAAGTTTGGTATTATATAGCGTCACTTACTATGATAGTAGCGGTTTTTTTCTCGTTATAACATACAGAACACTTTTGTCTGTTGTAAAAGTACAAATACTCTAAGTCACATGTTTTTCATCAATGAAAAAAGAAAGATTTTCACTCGCATTAAACTTTTATTTTGACATCAACAAACATATTCGACAATGCATTATGTATATTAATGTACATGCTAACTATTCTTCTTTCAAAACAATATATAACTTGAATGAGAAATAATCGTACATTTCAAATTTGTTTTTAGAACAATTCCAAAAAAAACTGACCTTAAGATTTCAATCATTCATAACTATTAACACTGAATTCTTTCATTTGATTTATATTTTAAATATATATGGGTTAATTGCAACTTTATTGTACCGTTGTATTCTTGAACATAAAATTTCAATATCTCGAGTTCTATTCAACCAATCCTTGTGATTTTTTTCACCATATGTTCTACTAAGAATTTCCCACTACCACACAAAAAAATCACGAGGCTATCTTGAATAAGTCCTGAGATATTGGCTGTACAAGGCTCAAAATTTCGATATCTGCTGCCGTTTATTGGACGAAAAGTCGTATGGCCAATTCGTTACTTCTTATTTGAATTTTGACAGTTGATGATATTTATAATATACAGTCTGCACTTCTCGAATATAAAACTCATTGGTTCGTTCGACGTTTTTTTTTTAGCATAGTTTTCTCGAAATATCATGAGTACAGACAACTCTCAATTTTCTGTCACGCGAGATTAAAATTCATTTTGCTACGCAATGACCCGTCTGAAATTGATCGGGCTGCTGTTAAATAAAAGACAGTTGATGCTATATAAAACCACTAAAGACGATGAGATAATTGTCCTACTTCTTCTTGAGAAGAAATATAAAATTCAATTTAAAAATTCGATTGTCACACAAAATGTCACGCTAGATTTTTCAATTTGTTTGGGGCATAGTTTTCTTATACTATGCCAGAATGCGACCAAACTTTGGCCATTTTATTCATTCATTGTGCCTAATTACCGGTTAAAATATCAGAGTCGGAAGACCTGTCTATCGTGCGAAAGAGGGAAAATATCGTCAATATGTCACGCGAGATTTTCTATAAGGAAGGTGTCACGCGAGATTATTAATCGGATAAAGTGCTCCAAGCAAGTGAAACTAAAGGTGATTCCGCATAATACATATATATATCGCCATAATTTATAAAATTTTTTAATATATTTGACAAAACTTCCGTATGTTGAAAGTTTAATATATCCAGGCAGAACAACCATATTTTAGCAAATTTCATGTGTTTTTTGCGCGGTTTTCGTGTATCATAGCCAAACTCATAGTGGTAGTCGGGAAACTTCAATTATATTCTTCTCTCATATGGTACTGTATAATGCACTACTCATCTATTTGAAAATCGAAAAAAAATTCTCCGACCATTTTTTTCATGAAACGTTACAATAAAGTTGCAATTAACCCATATATATATATATATGATATTTTAAAAAAATATTTTGCAAATATTCAAAGTAGCATTATTACTAAGTAAAAGATCTAAAGCAAATGAAGTCAAATATAAAATAAACAAAATAGCAATAGACCATTCAAGAGACGCTGCTACTGATTGTAATTGTGTTTGGTTATCAGGTTTTTGAATTGTACCCATGACAACAAAAGTAATTACCAAAGGAATAGCCAAAGAAACAAAGAAAACTCGCAAATTAATTGCCAGATTAACTTGATTATATGATAATCGATAAATAATAGAAAACATTGCCGATAGAAAAGTAAATACAATAAATAATCCCGTAAATATATAATGAGCTCTTGTATGATTAATCGAATCAAGAATAGCTAGAAGAATAAGAGATATACTAGAAATGATACCAAATATAATAGACACTATGGAAATACTTCGTTTAAATTGTTGTTTATTTTCCATATCAAAGCAAAGTTTAGTAAAGATCAATGTCAAAACAAAAAATATTCCTGTAAGAACTGTACCAATAATAAATGCTGCCTTGTATCGAGCACCAACATTAGAAATAAATACTACATCACCATCATCATATCCGTATCGAATAAAATCATCTTCGGCCCATAAACCAAATAAAGCAGCGACAGTTGCTAACCATGCAAGAGAAGCAATGATTGAAGTCAATATACCAAAAAATTTAAACAGTAAATGTTGCCATGATGGTGATATTGCATCTATAGACATTTTTTTGTAAAAGAAACTATTGCAGTCATTTAGCTCCAAACACGTGAGAAAGGGGTGCCTTAGGGATATCACCTATTTTACCTTGTGCAATATAATATAATATAAGTATTTGGATGCCATGGATGTCGTCCTTGATTATGATTTCTAACATAAGTTGTAAGAGAGAAAAAAGAAAGATCGAATGAATGAGCACGAAAACTCAAAAATACTCTTATTAATTTCGTTTTCTTGAATTAGAAAATAAATGAATTCATATTATTGTTCGTAAAATGAAGGCAAATAGAAATTCACAAAAAAATAACGTTTATTTATATGTAAAGAATGAAGTGATATTTTATAAAAAAATTTGCTATTTTTGAATTCTGCGTTTTCTTAGAAAGAAGTATCATACTAATTGAAAAATTTATGTTATCATTACTTTTTTGTATATCTTGTTTCTCTAAAAAGTTCTTTTTCAATAGCAAATAAAATGATTCTATAATGTTATTTATTAGCGTTTGTCAACATTTTTAAAATTCAATAATTTTAAGATTGCTAAAGCATGAATAAAAGAAATTTTTAAAGAAGTATAAGTAATACTACATTGTTATTATAGTAACTATGAGTTATCATACGTGATAATTTTTATTTATCCGGTGATTATTGTTTTGCACTTTACGATCAATTGTAGTTGCTTGCGTTTTTATGTTTCAGAGTTTAGAAGAACATCGTAAAAATAAAAACAAATACGAAAAAAGCTACTTATTGAATATAATTTTTCTACAAAGATTAAACAATAAATAATTGAATTAGCTTTTGATGATAGTGATAGCTTTAATGTAGAGTATAAATCCTTTTCGATTATATTGATGTAATCACTTATAATAACTTTTAAAAAAAGAATTGTCTAGTGAAAATATCTTGATGATGATCGCTAGCAGAACTCTCTTTCATATATTGTTCAATAATTCTTAAAATACAGGCGTCGTAACGAAGTGACACATTTTTTTTCGATTGCATGATTTTTGAATAGCTAGTGAACGAGAACTAGTATAGAAGTCATGCCGATGTATACAGAATGTCTTGAATGTCAGTCGTGAAATAAAGTTGCAATAGCTCTTCAATGATTCAACTGATTCGCGTGAGCTTTTTATCATTTCATAGAATATTCTTAGAAGTTATGTTTCACAGCTGACTTTTGGGACATCCTGACATCCATGTAACAACCATAAGACTCTTAAAGTCAATCAAGTAGTAAATCGACATTCATTTGCTCGGAACTCTGGTTCAGTGTTCGAACCAAACACTTCACGTTGGAGTTTGTGTTTCATACGAAAAAGTAGCTTTTATTTGTGACATTTCTTGCAACACATTACAAACTATCATGCCTGTAAATAATAAAACTCAAGAGAGAATGTTAGAGCAGATTGTATCCTTGATTTTGATCGACCCAAACAGCTACTATATACAAAAGAGAAGATCAACTGGCAGGTATACTAGAAAAGATGTTTGCCTATATTTGAAGGCTTTATACAAGATATAATCAGAAGTAAAAATACGAAATGAGAAAACATTTATAATTATAATAAAGAGTCTAGTAATATCAAAATGCTTTGTTCATTTTGGACAGAATCCGTAACTAGAATCTTCGGGTTCGATCCATGTCTAATAGCAAACATGATGAGTCTATGGAAGGTCATCAATATTATATTTCAGATATTATTATATTTAAAATTCAGACTGATTGTAATTCAGTATATCTCGAGCTTTTGTCATCGATCGTCATAACACTGATTGAAGACGTAAAAAAACTTGAAAATAAGCATAGCCTTTAAATGAGGCCAACAGAAACAGGAATAGATAACCAGGAAAGACAACATCCTTTGGTATATCAAATGATAGACAGTTGCAACCTTCAATGGTTAACAATCAAAGGAAATATGCTATTTGTAGTACAAGTAAAGGCTCACATAAAAATATTGATTACTTTTTTCATTCTAAAAGAAATATGTTCATTTTTGAACTACTTTGGTTTTAGAAATTTCATAATACTTTGGATGAAAATATCAATACTCAATAATAAGTATTGTAAATGTAAAGTTGTCAAGAAATTTTCATTGGAGAATTCGTAGTTGTAAAAGAGTTTAACAAAATAATAATTGTTATATTTACAGAGTTTTATCACTAGTGGATTATAGTCATAAGTGGCGGATTATATATGATGAATAAATGAAATTGCTAACAAAAGTTTATCAGAGCTAAATTTCAAGTAGATGTTTAGATTTTATGAGCGATATTTTTAAGAAATACTAGTTTCACTTGTCTATGATATTAGAAGCTTTTATTTAAATAAATTTATTAATAAAATAATTATTTTGGTGAATATATTGCCACAAATATGTTCGTCAAACGATTGAATTTAGCAAAGGAAAGAATTATCAATCACTATTTGGCAAGTAATCATAAAAAATATTCACGGTGTTTTCATCATTTCGAAAAAGGTTTTAGACTATAAATAAATACGATTAAAAATCAATAGAATCTGTCATTGTTTTAAATAGGAAAAGCTTTTCTGCTTGTTTATCAAAGAAATTTCTTCCGAATGATTATTTTTATTTTACCATTTGCAAGGCAATTTTCTTTGTTGAAATAATATCTTTCGGCAAATTTATATATTATTAATAGTAAAACAACAAAAATTCGATGGTTTTATTTTGTCTATTTATTATTGATGATTTTTTTTTTCTTAATATTCATTTAAAACTATACTGCAAGACAATAATTTTATATATTCTATTTTGTCTTTTCCTTGTCAAACATGAAAAGCCGGATGAATTTTTGATAACAGAAACTTATCACAGTTGGGTGAACGCTGGGAGAAAAGAAGTCGGCTTTCTGTTTTTTTTCTTTTATTTTTGTTCTTTATTCTACTAAAAAGAGTCAACTCTTGCTCACTTTACTATCAAAAAAGCAAGGAAAGAAAAAAAAAAAGAAGACAAACTACGCTCACTTATTTTTTTTTTGCGTTGGCATTATATTTCAAGGATAACATATTCTGTTATATCATACAACAACAATGGCTACACATTTAACTACAGATGAGTGTAAAAAGGTACATTTTATTAGTTTTTTTTAATTAAAATATTTCGATGCATAGAAAGTTTTCTTCTGTTCAATGTAGTTATTTAAACGATTTGATAATGGTAATGGAATATTATCGTTAGCTGAAGTTGATCGAGCCATTATTTTTTGGTATCCTGAATTTGGTACTAATCGTCAAGCTATGCTTCGTGCTTTTAAAGCAGCTGATACGAATGGAGTACGTCTTTTGTTTTTATGCTTGTTTATTGAATAAAACTTATGTTTTATTTGTAGACTGGATTTATTGAATTTAAAGAATTTCACCGTTTACTTGATTTATTATATTATTATAATCAATTAAGTGATTTATTTGGACAATTAGATACCAATAAGGATAAAAGAATAAGTTTTAATGAATTTAGAAAAGGACATGAACTTATGGGTCTTTCGCATATAAATGATAATCATTTAAGAGAAGAATTTAATCGTATTGATACTAATCATGGTGGATATATTCTATTTGATGAAGTTTGTTACGTCTTATTTTGTTATATATATATCTAAATTTTACATTTGTTTTTTTTCTTTTTAGTTTTGTCTATATATGGCAAAGAAAAAACTCAAACAAAACTAATCTATTTATGTCATTACAAAAATAAACACGATTTTTGTTGTATTGAAAATTTGTATTTTTTTTTGTATTCAATATATTTTTTTTTAATGTCGTGAGTCACTAAATATATAAGAAAATAATAATGTCTGCTTATTGATCTGTTTTTGTCCTTATCAAGACAAATAACAAATGACGAAAGAATAAATTCATACAATAAGTTTTATACTTCTAGTACGTTTGAAATATTGATAGTGCGCTTGATTATACTTGTTATCTTTTATATGCTTATTATTGCGAAATCTATACAATAAGATCTTGATGTTCTCATGGAGAGTCTTGATTTATTCATTGAATTTAAATATCAGTTTTTACCAAATTGAACGTAAAACGAACTCTCCAGAAGAAAAAAGTTTCTGGAAAGCTAGTGCTTTTTTTTGTGTTCGACTATCCATGGAAGTATCAATCAAAAATACAATAAGCCAGCATTTTATCGTTGACAGTATGTAATAAAAGTGTGAATTTAGTTTCTATCGTCAAATGGGAAGAAAGAAATTCTGGATTTTTGATCTCGAAATCTGTTTTGATTTTAATGACTCCTAATCAATAATATTTCTTATAAATAGTTTTGATTCTTAAGAGTCAAATTTGATAAAACGTTACTCGAACTCAGAATACTTCTGATTATAAATACGTATGCCAGGAGGATTGTTTAATTAATATTGACATTGAGTCAGCCTGGAATACATGAAAGTCTGCATAGCAGAAAATGAATTATATAACGATTTAATAGTTTCTATGCTGTTTATTTTATAATTCATCTATTTCAAACATAAACATAAATTTATGTTCCATAATATTTAAATCAAAGCTAATATTATATGCATAATTTAAATATTTTATTTTCACTGCACAACAAAAACAAATAATTCTAGAGTCAAAATAACAAAATATATTATTTTGTCACGTAGATTTTCTTTCTTCACTATTGGGTTGTTTGCATTTCGATTGTCTTTCATGGTAAACATTGTCAATTTGCTTCTGTCAAAATTTTAATGTCATCAAGATCAGACAAATAAAATGTATGAATATTAGATAATGAATTTTTCTAAATTTATTTAATAATAAAATATATTCTGTCTATCAAATATTTTTAAATCATTAAATAAGAACTATGTCTACTAATAACAAATAAATAAAGTTTTTTCTTATTTTAAGAAATTTCAATATATTTTAATTAATTTAAAACTAAGATGATAATATTTAATCTCACATGCTCTCGTTTTTCTTATCATTCATAATATGATGTATTAAATATTTTTTGAGGTCG